GAACTGGGACTAAAGGTTCTTACAAACCGGGACTATAGACTGAGTCTGCACTAGTGTATTATCGTGTCCCACAATCTCGCTTTTTCTTTACGGGGCCCACAATCTGGACTTTGATTTTGGAGATTAATGTCTTTGATGGTCCAACGTCCTACTTTGATATTCATGGCAGTCCCTACACAATCTTTATGAGTTAGTTCCTTTCAGGTCACTAGACCATGAATAATTCTTTCTAGAACATTGATGCTCGCATTTCTCCTTATGTTCAGCTAAAAAGCCTTCCAGATCAAATTTATTAAGAAATAATTCAAGATCAGACTAATTTGAGGCCTTCTGACGATGTGTGTTCAGTACTAGAAGATGTTTCTGTCGACTACAAAACATATATGACAACTTCGTCAATCGCGTTTGTAGGGACGAGTGGATGTATAGATATGAGCGTCTGCATGCTTATTATGTTAAAAAAATATGACGCGATCAGCTAAATATGAAGATGCAATGACCTTGTACACTTGGCTCTTCTTGACTTCGACGTTGCTTAAAGCAAAAGGCACTTGAACAATGCCTATTACGTGGCATGCATGCACTGGTCTGGGCAGAGAACTTGGGCCCGCTAGCCGCTCGTGTGCTGCCAGCAAGCAGCAAGGTAGCAACGCATGTGCCGTGCGTCCACGCAGGGAGAAACACTCTCGAACATCGTTTCTACTTGCCCAAAAGAACCCACTCCATCTACCGTAATGCCACGTTGCCTCTCTCCCTCTCACGACTACATGTAATGTACTAATTGTAAATTGTTCTCCTCTTTTTGAGAAAGTAAATTGCTCTCTTTGTGAAACTACATGCATGCAGAGCTCAAGGAGTACTCTTTACCTAAGCATATGGTTAATTACTCCTCTATTTTATAGTTGTGAATTATATTTTAGTAAACATGCTCCAGATATTAATTACTATTTATATGAAATTATGTGAATTTTAGTATATCTTGTCTTAATTTAATTAATAACCTTAAAAATATGAATTATTAGTTTATTACGATGGACGAGGGTGTGCCATTTATTGCATGAAAATTTGGTCATCTATAGAGGAAATCGGTGATAATTATTGACAAATAAGTATAGAGGGGATCGCCTTATCAAAGTCCTTTTTTTGCATTGAATCTACTCCCTCCGTCTAGGTGCATAAGTCGTCTTAGGTTGTGCACTGTGACCAAGGTGGAGGGAAAACTAGAGAACTTAATATTTATTTGCTAATTAATAGTATTGCATGCAATGAACTGACCACTATATGTCGTGTTTGGCAGTCTCAAGTCATTAAAAGCATACATCTCTTATTGGTTGATCCCTATGTCAAGAAACAAGAAACGAGATGGAAGTTAATGCACCGCACCTAAGTGTTTTGAGGTTATTTGGTTTTCGTAAGGTGACTTATACACCTAGACGGAGGGAGTAGATTCCGGGAGATTCGTTTAATAGGATGGAGATTTCTCTAGTGTGGCCTTCTGCTATCCATGAGCACCAGTGACAGATCCAGTGTGGGCTTCATGGCACCCATGACACCCCCTACAAAAATGAAAATGGTGTATATGGTATACTTCATATTAATTTCGTAATGAGTTGTATTTACAGTGATGTTTAACCCAAATTATACTATTTTTAGTGTATTTTCCCAAAATTTAGTACCATCTAATTGATGTTTCGCATCCCCGACACTTATTTTCTAGGTCCGCCACTGATGAGCACCATTGTGCGGGGAAGCACCATAGTCAAAGTAATTTGAGAAGTGAATTCCAACCGATAAAGTCGTAGGTTTTCATAAAATCTAGCTTAATAACTATAGTTAGCGACCTTGTTTTGTGACAGTAGTATAAGAGATGGACAATGTATTGAAACTTCTCAAAGATACATTTTATAGAGAGAAAGCTTTTTCCGTTTGAGTTTACTAGCAAAGGGATTGGGAGTTTGGGATGACCACTTAGAACCTTAGTGACCCCTTTAAAAGGAAAAAAAATAGAGCAAGATGGGTCAAGACGCATTGAGAGAGTGTGTGTTAGAGTCTTTGCGGAGGAGGACAATTAGGGCTCAATTTAGGCTAGCCATGCCAGTTCGGAGGTGAAAGAAGTCAGAGTAAAGATTGAATATTTTTTTCTTAGTTATATATATGCCAGCATTTTCAATAAAAAGGAGGGTGCAAAACCATCCGGGCCAAGGCTCACAGAGTGGTACATGTGCACGAACACATCATGGATCTCAGTAGGAGAGAAGGGCCATCTAGTTGAATAAATCAGGGAACGTTGGTTGGTTAAGGACGAGGGGGTTGATATATACCAAATGTATCTATAGTTTTTGTATGTTCCATGCTATATTTTGCCCTATTATGTAATATTTTGTTACTTTTTGAACTAACATGTCGACCCAATGCCAGACATGCCCGTTTTGTGCTTCATGACGTTGATTTCAGGTATTTGAAAAATTCATAGAAAGAAAAGAAGAATATGATGCTTCATGGAATAAGAAGGCCAAAACACCAGCCAAAGATGGGTCATGGGATCCCCAGGGCCCCAATTGGCAAGTGGGTTTTGGAATGTGATCAACAAGTAAAAGATTATAGTTGGTAAATTTAAATTTTACATGAGTGGAGAATGACATTCGTAACTTGGTAACCAAGTTGTTTATAATCTACATTAACTAAGTGTATGTAATCTTGCGAATAAGTGGCATTAAAATCTGGTGGTTACTCATTAAATTATATCAACGTGAGATCTAGTATCGAAGGTTTCGTCACAACAAAACGGATCATCAATCAGATTAATGCTTCGAGATGTAAACCTTAACTAGTTTTTATAGTATTAAGAAATTTAGAGAATACTCCCTCAAAAAAAAAGAAATCTAGAGAATACGGGTTCAACTATTCTAGAGAATATTGTTAATACTATATAAAAGTATAAAAATGACATCAGGAGAACATCGTTTTGGTGACCGAGCTCACCGGAGCTCAAATTTTTTGAAAATTCAAAATTCAAACTTTTGGTTTCATTTTTTTTTTGAAATTTTTGTGCAAGTGAACAAGGATATTATGTGTACCTGTGTAAGTTTTTAATTAGGATGAAATACCTTGAAATGCGATCTGTACAAAAATGACAAATTCATGGCTTGGGAGGATCATGTGTTCAAAAGCTCCATTTTTTCACAGCCCTCGTTTCACCGTATTTAGCTCTCAAAATTTACACACATGTGTTATGCTTTCATGCATATATGTATTTTTTTCTCAAATTTTTTGAAATGTAATAATATGAATTTTGATGAAATTTGAAGTTTGAGCTCCAAAAGTAATTTTCGCGAATCTCGGCGTACAGTAGTATACCAAGTACAGTACTGTACTTATTTTCTCTGAGTACAGTAGTATACCAAGTACGGTACTGTACCTATTTTCTATAGTTTTACTGCATGCTTGTGTTTGCACGGACGCCGAACGTCCACGCGTGCGTGGGACAGAGCTCCCTTTCCTGGCGTCCACACAGTAGTATACCTTCTCAAATTCCTTTTCGCTTCCGGACAGTTGGCATGCCGACTAGCACAAATTTAGCCCAGTCCAGGGTGTCACCACCACTGAGAGTCAGCACCACACCAGAGTGACCAGAGCCGCCGTCTCTTCTCACGCTCCCGATCTTCGCCATGGACGCCGACCCCTCGTCCTCGCCGCTGCGCGTCGTGGTCGTCCCGTGGCTCGCGTTCGGCCACCTGCTCCCGTACCTGGAGCTCTCCGAGCGGCTCGCCGAGCGGGGCCACAGCGTGACCTACGTCTCCACGCCGCGCAACCTCGCCCGCCTCCCGCCGGTGCGCCCCGCCGCCGCGCCGCGCGTGGACCTCGTCGCCCTCCCGCTGCCGCGCGTCGACGGCCTCCCCGACGGCGCCGAGTCCACCAACGACATCTCCTACGGCGAGCGTAAGTTCCACTGGAAGGCCTTCGACGGCCTCGCCGCGCCCTTCGCGGAGTTCCTGGCCGCCGCGTGCGCCCACGAGGCCACCAGGCCTCACTGGATCATCGCCGACTGCTTCCATCACTGGACCGCCTCCGCCGCCCTCGATCACAAGGTTCGAGTTCGACCCAATCCAATCCGCGAAAGACTGCTAACTTTCTTCCCGGTTAATTTGTTCCATGTCTCAAATCTAGCTCCATCAATCACCAGGTACCATTGGCGATGCTTCAGCCGACCGCTGCTTCGATCGCCGCTGCGCCACGCCCGCCGTCGGTGCACCCGGACCCCGATGCTTCCGTGGCTGAACAGCCAGCCGCGGCCGCGCGCGCTGTGCCCCGTTACGAGCGGGAGGGGCACGCAGTGTTTATCACTGGCCATGGCGCGTCGTCGGGTGGCATGTCCGGCATCCAGCGCTTTATCTTGACAAAAGACAGGTGCACGGTCGCGGCCATGCGGAGCTGCATCGAGTGGGAACCCGAGACATTCCCTCTGGCGGAGACGGTCCTCGGCAAGCCGGTCATTCCCCTCGGCCTTCTGCCTCCGTCAGCCGACGGAGCCCGCCGTGCCGCCGCCCAAGGAGCAGAGCACGCCACCGTGCAGTGGCTGGACGCGCAACCGCCCGACTCCGTTATATACGTCGCACTAGGAAGCGAGGTGCCGCTGCGCGTGGAGCAGGTGCACGAGATGGCGTTCGGGCTAGAGCTCGCCGGGACGCGCTTCCTCTGGGCCTTGAGAAAGCCCAGCGGCGCCGCCGACGACGACAGCGCCGACATGCTCCCTCCCGGTTTCGAGGACAGCACCAGCGGCCGCGGGCTGGTGACCACGGGGTGGGTTCCCCAGATGAGCATCCTGGCGCACGCGGCCGTGGGCGGGTTCCTGACGCACTGCGGCCGGAACTCGCTGGTCGAGAGCCTCCTGTTCGGGCACCCTCTGGTCATGCTGCCCATCTACGGCGACCAAGGGCCGAACGCGCGGCAGATGGAGGCGAAGCTGGTGGGGCTGCAGGTGGCGAGGAACGAGGACGACGGGTCGTTCGACCGCCATGGCGTCTCGAGCGCCGTCCGGGCCGTCATGGTTGACGAAGAGGCCAGGAGGGGCTTCGTGGCAGGTGCGGCGAAGATGCAGGCGGTCGTAGCCGATACGGATCTCCACGGTAGGTACATCGACGAATTTGTCGAGCACCTCAGATCTTACGCCGCAGCAAGTGCAAACGCTGCAAACTGATGGTGGCTTCAGTTCTGCCGGGCCAATCTCCACCACTAGTTCTGGTTTCTTTTAATGGAAATCGCGGGGGAGGCGGGGAACCCTTTCTTCAGAAAAAAAAAAAAACTCCACCTCTAGGCTTCATGAACAAGGAAAAACGATGTGTACTTCATGTCTCACTTGCTGTATTTTTATTTTGTTATTATCTACCTGGGAAAGAAAACTTCGTCAGCAGATTTGCGTTTTCTAATGCGTGATTTTAGGAATCTGATAAGTATCCAACGCTAAAATAGCGAGTGCATAGTCAATTAACGACAGAATCAGAGCTGAGCTCCTCCCTCCCTGCCCCCCGCACCACCGCGCCGCGGGCCATTCCGGCCGGGGCAGCCACCAAACCCGTGGCTGCCCAAGCGGGCAGCTGCGCCTCCCCAACGGCCGATGGCCCCCTCCCTCGTCGCTGCCATCAATGCCCCTCGGCCCCCGCCGACCGCTCGGCATGGTAATCTCTTCGATCTGGGGAAAATCCATCTGCATCCTTCGGTCCGTCCAACGCCCCGGTCTCGTCGCGGTCGCCCTGTGTCCCATCTTCGGGTCCGCTGCGTATCCTGCTCCGGGGCGGGTGCTCCCACGCTGCACCACCCCTTTCCCCCGCGGATCTGGTCGCGTCCCCCTCTTCGGGGCGCCCCATGCTCAAATCCATTGTGGTTATTCCTTCCCCGCCCGCCTGCCACCCCTCTTCAGGCA